TCTTTCTAAACTTTTCTTTCTTTTTGTCTTTATCCTTTATTTTGGACAGTTGAGGACACTCTACTTTGATGTGTCCAGTCTTCTTGCACTCGAAGCGGATGATCAAATCTTTGGGCTCGTTTTGAGATGTGGAGACTTTGCATTTTGATTGAAATCTTCTTCCAGCTTTATTCCTATAGAACTTTTTGAATCTTCTGACTATGAGGCCCATTTCATCGTCCTCTAGGTCCTCTTCATCATTATTTTCACTCTCTTGAGTCTTGAGAGTAATACCTTTACGATTTTTCTCGTTCATCTCCTTCTTATAATTCTATTTGCTCTCATATTCTGCTAAGCTTCTGAATAGTGTAGCAACAGAGCCAATTGATTCTCCTTTTGTTTCCTCAATAGCTGTTACCTTCAGTTCCCATTCCTTCGTCAAACTGCTTAGTATTTTCCTCACTTGGTCTTCTTGACTGTACTTCTTACCAAGCACAGTGAGGTGATTGATAAGGTATGAGAATCTAACTTTAATGTCTTGAATGCTCTCTCTATCCTTCATTCTAAATAATTCAAACTCTATGGTGAGAGTGTTGATTCTGCTCTGTTTTACATTGGTTGTCCCCTCGTGTGCACACTGTCTCACTGTCTCCGAAACTTGCCATAGGATCTCTCTTTAAATGGTTAAGTCTTTAAATGAAGAAACCTGCTCTGATACCAAATGTTAGTGGTAGCTTCACCCAAGAGGGGGGTGAATTAGGTGAAGTATAAAAATTTGACGTAATAAAACAGTGAAGCAAGTAAAATAGAGGAGACTGAGTTAGGAAGATTTCACCGAAGAACAAAGACAAAGAGTTTATACTAGTTCGATCACAACCATTTAACTTACGTCTAGTCCTTAGAACACCTCTGAGATTTTTACTATGTTTTTAATATTAAATGGGCTCTTGGTGCCACAGTACAGTAATTGAATATTTCAATCACTCCCCCTTACTACCTATAAGGTTACAATCCCCTCAAGAGTCCACACTCTTGAATTACTCTTAGAAAAAGAGTAAGATAAAGTGTATAAAGCTCTCTTACAAAGTATGTAGATGTTAAACACCAAAGCTTGGTAAAACAAAGTATTGACCGCAACAGTAAATTTTTCAACAGACAGTAGCTCGCATATTCAATACTTCATTCAATGCCCTTCGTGCCTTTTATAGTTGGAGAAGTGTGATTATCTGTTAGACTGAGGAGCTTCTAACCGTTGAAAGATCGCTTGCATGTGTTCGGTAGTTACAATGGTAGTTCGCCATTAATGCTTCTGATATGGTAGGTTAAAGGCTACTAAATAACCGTTGAGCTTCATAATCTGTAAAAGTCTTTTAATACAAGTTAGTCTTCTTCTTCAAGAAAATTTGTAAGGATAACAAAATAAATGATGATCATTGATATTGATACAATAGATTGGAAAGTATAGAATCAATCATCAGATCCTTCAAATGTAATCTAAACTTACTTGATCGATGTCTTGATCAATGAATGGTTGATCGATCAAGTTGTAGATTAAATACCAGGAGAAAGACTTAAATAGATATATACATTTATCAAATAGATTATGGATCAACAGATGATCATGATCGATAAATGTTTTAAAGAAATTTTCACAGGGAAATCATAGAATAGATTATGATCGATTAATGATTAATCAATTAAGTGATCGATAAAAGATGTTTACAGAAAAGATCAAGGAAAGGCTTTGATCGATCATGTTATGTGAAAACAAAAAGCAGAAGTCAAGATAATGGATATTTTTATCGATAAGTGAATGATCGATTAGGTGATTTGAAAATAGCTCAGCACAGATATGTGCAGTGAAGGTGTTGATGATCGATCATTTGATCAATAAAATGATTGATTGATCAATTGATCGATTAAAGATCTTGACAGAATACTTAGATAGAACACATTATTGATTAACCAAAAGTAAGTTATCATGCAATGTTGGAACAGGTTATCAATAAAAGTGTGATCGATAAAGTGATCAATAAATGGTGAATCAATCAAAACATAAAGTAAGTGGAAAGACTTTACCATTTATCTGTGTTCTCATTGATAATTACTTGATCGATCAGGTGATCGATAAACGCTTACTAAGATTCTGTGGCTTTTTCTAACAGTTAATCGAATACTAAATTATCGATCAATTGATCGATAATTTTCTGTAAGCTTTTACATTAAACCGTGTTATTGATAATTGATCAATTGATTGATCAACTCATAAAGTCTGATTTATCTAACATATTATCGATCAAATTCAGTGCCAAGTAACTAAAATAAAGAAGTAGTTTATCTGACACATGATCGATCAGGTGATCGATCAACTTATTTTAACAAGAAAACACTAAATTTATTATCATCAAAACTTTAAATCTAACAGTTTTGAAAACAAAGGTTTTTTAAAAAGTACTTATCTGTCCTACTTATCAGACAAAGAGGAGGTTTTTCTTGGTGATATTTTTAAGTCACCCTCATTGAATTTGTAATACAAATATACTATTTTGTCCTCTATTTATTATAGTATAAATAATTATTTTTTTAAAATGTGTATATATTAAATAGGAGGTATAGTTGAAAAGTTGTTATATTTTAAAAGAAGAATTAATGTAGTTTAAAATTTTTTTTTTAATGTACATAAAATATACTAAAAATGCTCAATGAATAGGATCAGAGTAGCATAGACCTTGCCATAGAACTGGAAGAAATAAAGACATGAAGAAAAGTGAGTTACTGTTTCTCCATGAATTTTATAGAAATGAATCTAACTTTCTTTTTCTATCTCATCACCTCACTTGAATTTACTTGCCATCCTGGTGAAGCCACTGCCAAGGGCCAATATCAATTGGCAAGTCCACTATTACGAAATGACTTTTTTTTTTTTTTATAGTGAAACTTTTACAATAATTGTCATTACAGGGTAACAAATTGTAACAATTGGCATTTTTTAAGTAAAATATGAAACTATTGATATTATCTGCGCTAGTTTCATTGGCAGCCACTATTAAAAACAATTTCTAACCCGGATAAAAGAACCAACCAGTGTAAAAAATAATTATTTAAGTTATTTAAAAATTCATCTCTTTATAAACTGGTTAATATAAGATTTTCTATACTGATTATATCTACATCGATTATAAAACCAATATAATGTTGATAATCTTTTTTTTTTAAACTGCGTTGAAAAATTAATACGGAAAGTTGCGATAATTTTATCTCCCCTTTAATTCAGTCCATATAGCATTTACTTTATTGTATCCTTATAAGTTTTTACGCAATCCCTATATTCATAATTTATTAATTTGTAAGAGAAATCTCTTTAATTGCATGTAACTTGTTTCTCACTCAATATACATCTAAATAAATTTTCTTCCATTATTTTATTTTCTAAAAATTCTTTTTTATTTTTTTTATTTTTAACAACTTACATGTGATTTAGTCAACATTCACATCAGCCCCTAATTAACATATTATGAGCATAAGAGCTAATGTCTATAATTGAGAAACCTGCATATAATGACCCGAAAGAAAAAAGATCCACGAGAATCTAACTAAAAATCAGATAAAACTATAAAAATTAAAGAATAAATTTTCCCCAAAATTCAGGCTCAATTTCGGCTTGATGCAAAAGCTATTTCATTTGATAAAAAGGTAATGACATCTTTAAATCATCTAAGTTCTAGTCCTTCTAGAACAACATCCTAAATACCCCTCCAGTCATTTATATAAGATCTATTTAACTAATTTGATTATATTAAGAAAATTAGGTAAGTTAGTTAATTATAAGAAATATGACATGTTTTTCCTAAAAAATCTTAATCATCTTTCTTAATATCCTTCCTCCTTCACTCATTTGATTATGGTTGAGAGAGTATCTATAGGGATAATTTAGAAAAAATTCATAAATATGAGAAATAAGTCTTATATTTGGGACTAAAATTAACTTAACAATTAAGTCCTATATTAAAGACTGGAAGAGTACATCAAGTTAAGATATGAAAATACATTTAGACACAAATAATTCATTGTACAAAAAGAAAGAGCTTTTTGTTCATGTGTGAACTCATTCTATTGTCCTAACCTTGACTATTTCATGTGATTGATTGTTCATTGTGAGTTGTAAGTTTATAAAAAGTCATTCAATGAAAATAAAAAAATAGGGATGCTTTATTCATCACTAAGTAGACACGAATATTATATGTAATGAAGACAAACTTAGATTTTATTTTATTTCTAAATACCATTACCTGTACTTCAATAAGGGAAGTGGATAGGGATTACATGAAAATGACCGTTGATTGACTCACAGAATCAAATATAGGCAAATGGCATTATCAGAGGCACGCATAGCCCAAATTAGTGATATTTAAAGATTGAAATAATTTTTTGAACGACCAAAATTATCACTAAATCTTCTCGATATTACTTCTAATATTTTAAATCACGATTTTCTCATTTCAATACTATTAACTTATTTTGAATAATTTATAATTTTAGAAACCAAAATTGGTAACCCTGGAAAGAAAAAGTAGCAACATAATTTTGGGACTAAACGTAATGAGGTTGAATATATAGTAACAGATATTCAGTAAAATTTCACCATATTCAAATTTCAATTATTCAATAATATCAAATAATTGGTAATTTGTCATATTCAAAAAATAATAACTCTAAAAAAGTACATGTAATATAAGCTATAGGTGTGTCCTCTCTCATTTTATGAAATTTTTAATTTTTTGAGATCTTTAAGTAAAATTATTATTTTATACAGGTCCTGAGCATCTTTTTTGCTGTAATCTAAGATGGGTTACCTAGGAATAATTAGCTGCAGCCATATAAATACATAAGCTGCAAACACAAAACCCAAATCAGTGGCGCAGAATTTGAAAGACAAACTTTTTTATCAAAGCACCATCCATCATCTTAGTCTTCTTTTTTCCTCCTTCTTTATTACAATAAAATTGTATTAAGGATTAGTCATGGGAAGCCATGTGGGTTGTTGGAGTATAATAGAAGAAGAAGCTGGTTGGAGAAAGGGGCCTTGGACTGCTGAAGAAGACAGACTTCTAATAGAGTATGTCAGAATGCATGGTGAAGGAAGATGGAACTCAGTCTCAAGACTTGCAGGTAAATATACGCAAGTCCTTCTTCATTATTTATGATCTAGTAATATATACACACACTCTTCAAGTTTCAGTAACTTTTTTTTCCTGGTTCTTTCTATTCCTTTTTGATTGATCTATGATGGGTAAGTGATTGGTTTGGGTTTTGTTTGGGCTATTTTTCAAAGGACTGAAAAGAAATGGAAAGAGTTGCAGATTGAGGTGGGTGAATTATCTGAGACCAGACCTCAAGAGAGGTCAGATAACACCACAAGAAGAGAGCATAATTATAGAGCTTCATGCTAGGTGGGGAAACAGGTAAAAAAGAAATTTTTCAATCTTCCTCTTTCTTCAACTTTTAGAAAAAAATTACAGAAAGCTTTGCCAATTATATGATATATGGGACAATTTTCTTCATTCCAAACAAAATTCAGATGGTCAACAATTGCAAGAAGCTTGCCAGGTAGAACAGATAATGAGATAAAGAATTATTGGAGGACTCACTTCAAGAAGAAGGCAAAAAGTCCCATTAATGTATCCGAAAAGGCAAAAAATCGCCTTTTGAGAAGGCAGCAGTTTCAACAACAACAAAAACAGCAGCAACAATTGCAATTGGACATGAAAGGTATTGTGGCCTTGCTTGAAGACAGTAACAATCATTACGAAGTGCCTTCTACCCTTTGTTCAATGGCCAACTTCTATCCAAACAACGCAGAAGAACAAGGCTGCTTCTACTCAATGATCAGTACTATTGATAATAATGACAATTCCTCTGCACCAGAAGCCTTAAATGAAGAGATTTTGTGGGACGGCCTTTGGAATTTGGATGATTTTCATGGAAACTTCAGTGCAACTAATACTACAAGCAAAGCCAATCTGCACAATCTGGTCGTTTCCTGAATTTTTAGGTCTATTAAATTAGCTCTAGTCTCTGAAATTAATGAGTGGTTAAGTTAGTCTTGAGAATTTAGAATTTAAGGACTGGCTCTTTCATTGACTAACTTTTATAGCTTAGTCTTTTCCCCTTTTTGGGGTTAGTTTCGAGCTTAGTTATCGGAATTGGATGACTCCAAAGAAATGAAAATTTTGGAGTTGGATCAATTATTGCATAAGGTGTGGTCTTGACGTAGTGAGTGTTATTCTCTGGAGACAATCATTTGTTTAACTTATCAATAAAAAGTGTCTCAATGTTGCATTCAAAACTAGAATTAAAAGTGTTATTCTCTGGAGACAACCATTATTGCTGCTGCTTCTTTTAAACAAACCATTCATTATTCATTATTTAATACTATTTATTAATATGGATTCAAGTGTATCGTGATAGAAAAAATTAGGATAAACTCTTCAACTTAATTCTTTTTTTTTTTATACAAGACTTAATTTTGAGGACCTACTTAAAGAATATTGAGTTTCCTAGTCATTCAACCCCAGCAGCTGGCCATTGCTTTGTTATTGTATATGGTTTGTTTTGAGTGTGACAATTTTAACCCTCGAAGTAAATAATAATTACAAATTTTATGGTACTAAGATCAATGAACTGGTAAATCAGTTCCCTAATCAATCCAATTAAGAGTTTTAGACGGGTCAACTGGGTTGAATTTTATTTTATTTTTCCTTCTATGAAATGATGTTGTTTTGAGTAAAAAAAAAAAACAGTATGTTAAATTTCTGCTCTATTAACTCTATTTTATTGGATTATATATGGTTTATCTATGAACGTTCCATTTACTTGTGGACTTTCTATTTATTTGTGAATCAATTCCTTTTTATTTAAAATATTAATGCTAAATTTGTTTTCCGATCACACTCATTTTTCTAGGTGAAATTTTGTGAGAATAACTTAATTTCTTTATAAGATTTTGCCCTTTTCTCCCGGATTTTGTCCATGAGAAATTCACTGTTTTGTTTTGGTTAGCGGAAGGATATGGAAGCAAATATAGAACGTGCCAAACTAGGCTTCCTTTGCACTATCTTAATTTAACTATTATCAATAGTTTGTGATTGTGAAACATGTCAATAAAGTGTCTCAATTTTGCATTTAAAACTTAAATGACTTTATTTTTCTGCCTCTTTCATAAAAAATATTAAGACTTTGAACCTTCTAGGAAAAGTATACAATAAAGAAAGTGGAAGCAAATGGAAAATGCTAAATTATGAGTTTCCTATTCATAGTCTAAACAACGATTCCTAGCTTCAGGATTTCACCTCTTTTTGTTTCGTTGTCTAGAAATCAAGTCGAAGAATTATTGCTTAAACATTAAATTATAAGAGATATTTTTTTTCCAAATTACATATATTTTCTTTTTATTTTTAATATAAATTTAAAATTATACAAACTGTCCTTCCACTTTCATAATTCAAACAAGCTTTCTTCCAAAAAAAATATATTAAATTACACAAATGACATAAGTATTGTTAAAATTACAAACTTCCAATATCTTAAAATATACTTATAACCTTCCCAACAAATAAAAGAGATGTCTATTTGATTTGTAAAAAGAAAAAAAATTTAGGAGTTATGAATAATCTACTCTTTGTTCAAAATTTCTAGAAAGGGCAACATACCCAAGAGGAAGAATGAATTGGGTGCTTACAAATTTTTTGGACCTTAAAGCAACAAAAAAAATTACAAAAAGGTCATGAGGGAGAAAAATAATTACAAAATAAGTCTAAAAAATTGTTATTTTCTACTCTAGGACTTGCCATTACAAGCAGCTTATATTGTTATTAGGATTTTTTAGTAATTATTTTCTTTTCTTCAGACTTCAATTCATTGTAATTTTTCCAAAAACAAAATTCAGCTAAACAAAGTGTAAGTGCGTAATTTGATCAAAATCCAATTCAGAAACTTATTTTCTGACCAAAAGAAAATGCAGAAACTTATCTATGACAATGTTTAACTAATTTATCAGGCTAAAATAAGTATATACGAAGCTTGAAATTGTTTTCCTTAAGACATGGTACAGTAAAGACTTAAAATAAAATTTTTAATACAAGAAAAAAATATATAAAAGGGACATGTTGGAAATGTAAAGAGATTAGGAAAGAGAAATTGCAAGCCATGATTTAATTCGGATTCGTCTTTAACCACGTGACCCTACTTCTAATTTCCTGAAACTTTGAGAATTTTTGCACAATACACTAAATTAAGTCAGGTACTTGTGAGCCATTACAGTCATTATCTTTTACAATAAATATATTAAGAGATACCACACAGTCTTTATTTATCATTAGCATACCGCACCCTATCTTTACAATGAATTATTCAAAAAGAAGATCACTCAATTAAACTCTCTCAAAAAGCCAGATGAGTACATTGAAGCATTAAGCACTCTAATAATATAGATATTATATTGCACTTGATAGCTCAAGATGAATGATTTTCAGATATAAGATGTATGACAAGAAAATAAAACAATCATTTTAACTACATATTTTGATCATTAAAGGTTAGTAAAACAAGTTTAAAGTGTTATAATATTTATAGCCCATTAAAAAAATGTAGCCGTCTGTGATAAAAATTAACCATTATATGTGTATTGGAATCACTAATTTGTTTTATAAATGTCACTAATAAAATTCCATGAAGCTTCTAAAGGAACCAATTAAGTACATTAGGATGGAAAGGACATCTACTGAAATCAAATCATGCCATTGCCCATTAGTGCGTAATGAAATAATCCCTTCAAGCATATATATCACAGATTATGGGGCACTTTGGGCGTTATTAGTACAAATCAACACACTCAGTTGGCATATTCTTTTCATTTCCATAAGCTTCGTACACATAATACAAGTGCTTTATCATTTTTTATAATTTGCTTTTTAATTCATTATTTTTATTGTAAGCTTCCACGAGGAAAGAATTAGATTCTATTAATCTCACATGATCTCCCTTTTCATTTTCACCAATAATTTTTACATAAATTATTGTGCTATAAGATTAATTAATAATATTATCACTCATTCTGACATTCTACTTTTATTTTTATAAGATTTTTTTGTTGTTTTTTCAATTTTTTAAATTACAGTGACTCTTCTTCAGATTAATCTTTATCACAAGATCTCTCATCATGATAAATGCACTTCAATCCAAAATTACTCCTTTTGGTGACAACGAACTAAATAATCTTGATTTGATAGCAGTATTAGGTTTCAAATAGGGAGAAGCTCTTTTAGCTTTGATTTTTTTTTTTTTTTCCCCAATGCTCATACTTACAAGACTTCATTTGGAGGGAAAATATCACCCCAAAAAAAAACCTGAAAATTACCAAATCCCAAATTAAGGTTGTTTTCTATATTTTAATTAACAGGTTTTGGTGATTTAGGATTTAGTAAGTTTTAGGTTCTTTTTGTAAATTTTTTTCCTTATTCAAAATGAATTAAACATAAAAATGAATCTAACTTAGTAATATCACGTAGTTTAATTTTAATATTAAAAATACCATCAAGATAAAGATAAATATATAATGATATATTGATGTTAATTCAATACTCAATATAAAATTAAAGTAAATTGTGAGATATGCTATTCCTAAGTCATAAATCATGCAAATCATTTTTCGTTTGTGCTAGATGCAATGTACAAGAGCTTAGCTAGTTGGTGCTTAAACTGAAGGGGAATCTACAAAATTTGCCATTTGAAACATGCGTGAGAAAATGAGTACTCATCAAAGATGAAGATCAAGTTATGCTACAAGAGGCCAATTAACCTATTTTACCAAAACAGTAAAAGCAAAATAGCCCAATCAATCCAACATGGTTTTGTACCCCTTGAGACCTAACTCAACACTTGAGCCCAAGCCTGATTTACCATAGGCCGCGTGATGTAGTGAACACTCGGTCTGCAAACATTTCCGATGTTAATAGAGGCCAGGGTTAGCAGCCGCTACCGCCTAAGTGCTCCATTCAAAGTGGCGATAGATTTTTTTCTTAAAAAAAAAAAACAGTCAATGGTGATTTAGACAATAGTACCTCCTGTTTTTAATGTAGGACTAAATTGAAGATTCAATTTAGTCCTAAATATAAATATGAGATTCCCATTTTATCTTCAATATTTATTTATTTTTCTCTCAAACAATCCCTATAATAATTACATATGTTAAAAAATTTATATCAAAAAATAATTTAAATGCGCATGATTAACAATAGCATTGTAGAGAAAACATACATTTATTACAAATAGCTAACTTAATTAATTTTTTTAATATTTATAAATTAGTTATTTAACTCTTATATCAAGAATCGGAAGTAGTATGAAATAAAGATGTAAAAAGAGGTTTATTTCAAATTGGTATAAGAACGTTTGGCGCGTCCAATTGTGATCCCAAACAAAAATACTAATGCGGCTAAATTAAACGTGGATGGTGCTTGGTTGTTCCAGACTGGAGGGCGTGTGGATTATTGGGTTTTCTTACCATCTTGGCAATTTTTCTGTTTGAGGCTGAGGAATGGGCTTTATTTAAGGGCCTCAATCTTGCTTATGATATGGGGTTCAAGGAAATTGTGGCAGAATGTGACAATAAGATTTTTATTGATGTCCTCATAACTTTGGGACCGCAAAACTCAGGGAGTTTGGCAAACCCTTACAGTCACTTAAAAAAATAATTTCACACTTCTCATATACTTATCTCATATAAAATAAAATTACTTATAAAAAACTAATCTAAACGCCCTCGAAACAGATCTCTCTTAATTGGAAAGTGGATCTTCATTACATACCTAGAGAATGCAATATTGTAGCTGATGGTTTGGTCAAGAATGGGCTCACTGCTTCTGTTTTTTTAGGCACAGCTCTCCAACACGCAAGGGTTCTAGTTCAGAAAGATATTAGGCTTTGCTACCCCCTTCGGCCAATGCTTAAAGTTTAGATGAAATAAAATTTGTTTATCATCAACATGAAAACCAAAAAAAAAAAAAATATTATGCTTATGTCTACCTCGCTCCTTGCATTTATATTGAATCTGTAAGGTGATTGGTTTTTATCTTATTTAGATATATATGTCAAAATGAATCTAGGTGTATATTAAGAGTCATGCTATCAACTGCTAACATTGTTTCTCTTACAAATTAATAAATTATAAGTATAGATGCCAATACTTATAATTGAGGAAACTATAAGGATCCAC